CTTCCCCCCAGCTTGGTGTCATCTGCAAACTAGTGCCGCAACAAGAGTGCAGGTACCATCAGCCTCTGAAGTCCTAAACCGCCAGGCAGAAAGAGGGTATAATCCAGCACTCCTGCCCCACAGATTCACATATATGCTCAGGACTTCATAAATAACAGACATACAGGCTAAAGGACTACTCAGGCTTTGCAAGGCTCTTTCCTTATACAGTTAATCCAATAAGCTCAAATTGTTTGAATTGAGCAAAATGTAAGTAAATGGCCACATTTTAGGCTATGACTCGCCTAAATGGTAACCACATCTGTATCCTTTTTTGCTGTTCTTTACGTATTTGGGATTCTACTGAAGTACATCTTCACTCACAGTATGACTTTCTTATTTTTTAGTTTAATACTATGAATATCATAGCTCAATCATACCTGGCTCCTGAAAGCAAACAAAGGATGCTGGCAATAGCTGTATTCTCTTAACACCTTTAATCTCTTTGTTGATTTTTAATGTTGCTGCAAATATAAGAAAAAAAAAGACATTTTGATCTTTAAAACACATTAAGAGGTTACAAAGACCACTTCATTACTGCCTTACCCTTTGGAGGTATTTTACTTTCCTCCCTTGCCAGATTTCCTCAAGGAAAATACCCAACTATAGCAAGCAGCTAGTCCAATAAAAATTTCAGAAAAATAAAATGGAACTTAAAATAGCAGGGAACAAAGAAAGATCTGCATGGCAGAAATCAAGAATTGCCTTCAACAATTCTACCACATGGAAAGAGATGTAACACAGCTAAAAGTGTTACTCAGCAAGCCATTATTATAACTTAGTCATTACAGAAATATTAACTAGAGAAAGACTCACTGAGCTAACTATATGAACACTAGATGCATTACAGTTACAACACTGTCCTAAATCTAACCTTAACATGACTTGGTTAAAACATCTGATCAAAACGTATACACATTCTGAGAAAACATATGTGCTTATAGAAATCTGCATCATCGGTTACAAGTTTTACAAATAAACATTACAATTTTAACCAAAGATATCTTGAAATTAGAATCAAGTCCCAATTTAATATCGGTTCTCCAAAAATCTGTTATTACCCAAATGCTAGATAAAATATGAAAAATAAAGGGAAAAAACCTGAAGTTACTTCAAATTAGACTTCTCTAAATTTTCTGGACTGAATAGCTTAAACTAAATACAATTTTTGAGACCACAGTTAAACTTTTAGTGTGCAACAGGAAAGATTATATTAAAGCTAAAGAATATGTAGTCTGGAAGTTGTTTACAAGTCTTGCATAGAACATGAGACAAGGCAAAATATTGTAGCTGAAGCAAATCTACCTCTTCTAATGTTTGGCAACGTATACCAAAGTCCCTATGCAATGAGACAAGAAACACATTTCCACAACATTGCAATGAAAAGGCCATCTGAGTCCCCTAAGGATTGATCTGTTATGATTAGGAGAGAAACGGTTAACATGAAGACAGGAAATGCCAAGATTATGCAGCATCGGGAAGTAGCATCTCTTGCACCTCAGCAACCTGGATAATCAAGGTGCAGTTCTAAACAGAGTGCACAAAAGCACATTTACATTTTCACTTGTTAAAAAATGGTGGCATTTAGCAATGTGCATCCAGGATAAAAACTTGACTAACTTACCATTTATGGCAACAAGCTCTCCCAAAGGCACACAAGTCAAGCCAGCAGTACCTTGTTCGCAAAGGGGATGTGTGTACTGTAGCTTATAAACACCATTCCCTCTCCATTTCTCTGGCATAGACACTGCCTTGGCTTCCGTCCCCTAAAAATACAGAGAGATAACACTGCCATACTTTAGCAATGTACCAAGACCAAAGGGTGAAAAAAGAGAACTGAAAGTTAGCAAATGCCAGGATGCTGCTTGCAATTCAAATCTTAGTTTACTCCCAATGTGCGTTATGACACAGCCTATAATTGCATGGTTATATACTATTTTCCCCAGGACTAACAGCAAAACTAAGGAGAAGTTTAGTAATTCTTTGTCCTGACCCAGTTTCTGACAGGGAAGATTGTTCAGTGAGCAGACTCAGACCTACTTCTTTGAGACATCTACTTCATTCCGTCATTTATTCCAGCATTCTGACAACTCCTGCATGTACATTAATTTAGTGCATGAAAAATGTTACTGCACCTTTTTTGTGAACTTATGAGGTCTGACAGGGCTTGAAGAACCATAGATTTTTGAATGGATTTCAAGCTGAGTGGACTAACAGGTTTTCTTTTCAATTGCAGTATGAAAAAGCTCAGATGGAATCCCAGAGGGGGACACAACAAAACCACAAGTACAAATAGACTCTTTCTTTCCTCTTAAATCTGCACAGCAATTATCTTCCCTACTTCCAAGTCTATTGATTGACATAAACAAACTTTCTTCCCAGTGGCAAATTGTCCTAGTTTGAGCTAAATAGAACTAATTTTCTATTTAGTTATTTTATTTTTTCAGCTAAGTGGCTGTACTTGCTGAAACTAACGGCATGCTTTTCCAGTGTGTACTTCTACAAGTGGTAAGTGCTTGTATGCTATGTAAACAATCACAAGGCCACTGTCTCACCATGGGTGCTGTATCTGCACCTACAGGGAGGAGCAGACCCAAAACTGACCAACTAGGTATTCCATTCCACATATGTCATACTTAGTATAAAGCTGATGGATCACAAGGGTCTCACCCCTTCTCTTCCCTTTGCTCCTGCAATGGCCGAAGTCTGATCAGAGCTGTGCTAGTTCGTCTGCCTCTGATCCTGATCCGTGTGTTCCTGAATCCAGTTCCTGCATCCTGCTCCCACCTACTGCTGGGTCAGGACTGAGATTTTTCCAGTGCCGTGCTCTGCAGAGCCTCTGGTGACATAATCGTCATTGGGGGGGGGGCGTGGGCGTGTAGGATTTTTATGTTGGTTTTATATATACTTGTATATATTCCATTATTTTCTCTATTTAAATTATTATCCTGTATTATTATTGTTTAATTAAATCTGTTAGTTTTATTTTCCAACCCATGAAGTCTCTCTCCCTTATTTTCTCTCTTCCCTTCTGGGGTGGGGAGAGGGGTTAATAGAACGCATCTGCCCACCATTTAGTGGCCAGCCCAGCCCTAAACCACAACACAAATGTATTCTTCAGACAGTATTTTGGGGTATAGGAAAGCCTGCCTCCCTAACTTAGCAGATTTATTAAACTGGTATTGGTCAACCAGTCACCTAAACTGACCCCCTACATGTGCTTAGTTAGCCTCACCACAGGAAAAAACATGAGAATCTAAACACCTTCTGTGAGAGCAAATCTTTTTTTAGCATGTTCAGCCACATATTAGTAAAGATGCAATGCAAATCTGAAAATGTAAAGCGAAAAGGTGAATTCATACATGGTACAGAGGTACTGCTGTAGGTGCTAGACTACAAGTTAGATAGCTCTGTATGTTAGTGGAACCAAAGCCTAACTGAACTCAGTTGAAGCTAATATGAAATTGTAGACATCATTTTGGCAGTCCTAGGCCTTGTTAACCTCCATTTGAACAGGATGCCATTGAAATGATACTGATGCTGAAGGCAGTGCTTCAAAGAAGAGCCATAATCAAAGCACATCTATACAAACTCAACAGTATAATGCAGCAAGAGGTAGTTATCAGCTGGGTCCCAGTGAGGCTGAGGACTAAAAGAAACATGGGGACAGGCCTCTTCTCTCAGTCAAAAGCTGCTCTGTCTTTAGCCTTAAGGCTTATTGGTTCAGGCAAATTACAGAAGCTAATACTTGAGCTGCCCCTGCTGCTGACTGACATACAGAAAGTCAGAAGTAGATCTTCAGATACATCTTTTATCACACATTCCCATGATATTCCACAGCTTCCTCATACTGACCAATAAATTTTCTGGCTGGCTGTACACCTACCAGAGGTACATAGCCTGTCTCCATCATGAGAAGATGTACTAGAACGATCAAGGCATCAGTGGCACTGGTACACTCAGCAGAAAGGTAGAGCATCTCCAAGGAATGTGGTATTTCACCATCAGCAGCTTCACTGCACAGCATCGGTTCGGAAGGATAGGACCCTGTACCCTCCTCCAGGTCAACATCTTCTGGGACTAATCCAGAAGGAAACTCTAGGCTGGATCCTGCCTTCAAGGGAAAGAAAAAAAATACCTTACACCTCTATATAAACCAGTAATATTCATCTGCTTATTCCAGTCCTCGCAGGCACCACAGCACTCTGCTGATTTCTCATGCAAGTTTTACAGATTCATTACATCTCCGTTTTCTAGCATCCCAGCTGGAGCTTGGAATTGCACACACAGCCTCTGTTTCTTTTAATATTTATAATGCAAGCCCTTCATAAAAGGGTCTGTCATGTGTTTGCATATACTATTTGAAGACAACATGATAATATGTTAAACCTTCATCAGAATTTTCACAACATACACAGGAGTAATTTATGCATTGTGGTACCACCACTTACTTTAATATAGCCAACATGCATAGCAAGTAACCAAAATGATAACTTGGATGGCTGAGAAACACAATAGGCCTATTTAGCTGGGAAAAAAAATATAATCAATGGAGTATATCTGCTGACACTTGACGAGCACTATGGTTTTATTGTGGCTTCCTTTCTTCTACCAAAATCACATCATATTATTATGTTAACTGATAAAACTACCCACAGACATTAAAAGAAAAGAGCGAATGAAAAGTATAAGCAGATTTACCTACGGGAAGGGTCAGGAAAGAGAAAAAAGAACCTAAAGGAGTTGTAGCTACTTCTCCTCTACATCTATGCCCAATGGCACAAGGCACCCTTATGTCTGTATGAGGCTGGCATGGCCATCAACCATGGAACTTCCCTTCTCTCATTAACAGCAATGGTCATAGCCTCAGTTAAACACAGATTTTCAGACTTCTAGAGCTCTTTTGCAATGACACTTAGTTGCTTAGAAGTTTTCATGCCATCTTCTGTCACCTTCCATTCTCACCACAGTTTTGAAGGAAGATGTGAGAATCTTTCATCTTGTCTTCAAATATTAAAAAAATATGAAACAGATACTTCTGCACAGTTTACTATGGTCCAACTGTCAGACATAAGGAGCTTGCATGCCCACAGCACCACGTAAGGATTATTGCTCCTGACAAGAATCAATGGGACAACGGTCCAACTACATTTTCTTTCCTCTTAGAATTCTAAATCATAATTTTCATACATTAAGACAGTATTTTTAGAGGACCTCACATAAAGGCTGTATTAAGGGACAACTACTTGCTTTGAAAGAATGTTGGAAGATCATTTCTCCCTGCTTCTCAAGCTTCTGCCTAACACTGGCAGGATCGTATAGTGAGAAAGACGTGGCACTAGGCTGTAGCTGCAGAGTCTCCTCTAGGGAGGCCATTGACCATAGGACCCAGCAGTTGGTGGGAGCCGTTACCTGATTAACTATTGCATGTACTGTCACACAGGAAACAAACCACTGAGTAACATGAAAAAAATGTGTCTATTGGCTGCATGAAACACACAGGGTCCACCTACGAAGCACAAGGCAGGAGCTATCTCAGCAACACAAACTCCATGCACAGGACAGACAGGTGTCGCTCTACGGCAGGCCATCTGAACCATAGGAAACTGTTATAACCCATTAGAAAGGAATCGTGCGCTCATTTTCCGAGTGGTGTTTCTGGCAGGCAGTGACTGTTGCATTTGTTCAGTACCCAGAATCCGTTTCCTTGAAAAGACAGTACTGAAGCAGGTAAGAAACATACTCCTAACTCCGTTATGGAAAGTGCATGTTCCAGTAAAAATACTAAATCCTGTAAAAATGTCAGGACTGAAACATCCCAGGTCTCTGAACAAGCTTCTGTGTCACAGCTATTATACAATGACTAGAGACAAATTTCCACTCAAGTAACTGGCTATATATGAGACAAGCATAAGCAGCCAAATATTCTAAGATTCTGCACTACATAGTGCAGCAACTGACATAAGAAGATACCTCCTTTTTTGCTTTGTGTTGTAAAGGACAATTCTCATGTACTTACATTCTCATTACTCTTTTGAGCTTCCACCTGAGCTTTCTGGTTGTCAGACTGCTCGTTCTGCCCTTCTTCTTTTGGACTCTTAGCCTGACTTTCATTGGGGATCAAGGTGGACGGTTCATGACCATTCTCAAGTGAGGGAGGAGTAGGGGGAGGAAGAGGTAGGTTGGGTTGTCCATCTGCTTTTTCTAGTAATAAGCATATCAAATCACCAGAAACAATCCCATAGGAAGCTAAGGTCTTCTCATCTTCTGTGAGAGGATCTTCTCTGTTCAGTGTTATGGAAAATGCGGTATCAGAACTGCAAAATAAAGGAAAAAAGGGAACATGGTTGACTGCACCAGGGTAACTGCACACAGAGGTAGAGTTAGAAATGCATACTACAATAGTACTGTGCCATGGGTTTTAATTAATTAATAATTAGCTACATATTAAAAGAAGAGTGAGGGAAAAAAATCTTATTAAATTATTTCCCCTATGCTTCTCTCCAAGTACATTTTAAGCTGCTGTAGCTGCTTGGTATGCATAACTTCATGTACAACAATTGCTCATAAAACAGTTATGAAGAAAAGCAAACAAGTGTCCTCCAAATTAGAAGATAACACACCTAGCAAAACAAGCTTTAAATAATCTACTGACTGAGATTCTTTAAAAACAAGATAGTGTTGCAGACTGCTCTCTGACTAAGCAAAACATACACTTCAAAAGGTCAGCAGCTGCCCTACAGCGTGGTAGTTGCAAATGAGGGTAATAAGAAAAGACGCTTCAGGGCAAGCACTTACAAAAATAATAATAATGATGAAAAAAAGAAACCAAAATAGAAATGCAACTGGTTAGCAGGGAATCAACTATCCAGCATCAGCTATAAAACACACCTGCTGTGGCAAGACAAGCAGTAACTTCAGATTTCTTCTGTCCACACTGCTATGCAGCACGGTGCTGTGCAGTGCTATCAAATGCCCATATCACCACTAAAATACTAGTACATCGTATTTAATTAAAGGTTTGTGAATATAAAACCTCTAGCCAGCATCAAAAAGTGAGCCTCTTCTGTGGGTGTTTCTTAAATTGATCGTGCAGACTTTACTCCCCTATAAAGAGTGTCATGAGCTCTTCACAGATGAGCCGCTTATGCAATTTAAACCTGGAGATTCTCTAAGAAGCCCTAATACCTTCCAGCCATTTTCGTGACGTGAAAGCCCCACGGAAATCCCAGTCAGCTCCGGCCGAGCTGTGGTCCGCGTGTCACGGCCCAGTGTCTCCCAGAACCGCTTTTCCTTTCCCGGTCTGCAGCGAGCAGCCGGGAAGCCGCGCTCGTTGGCCGCCGCCGCTGCCAGGCCTACCTAATC